AAAATTGGTTTATATGTTTCAGACAAATACATCAGACTCCAGAATTCCCGCAGATTGGCAACTCGCGTGCCGATGTCTTCGGAAGACAATACTAAATGCATTTCCCCCCTTAAAACAAATGTTCAATGTTAAATATTATCAAGTCAAAATCAGAACGATTACCTGATGATGTTCACGCTGTTGACGCAGTTTTATTTCCAACTCTCTGTTCATTTTGCCCGTCTTGACTAGCATCTTTGTATTATATTTCTGCTTCACTTTTTGCTCATCTATCAAGCGTTGATTTAACACCAACTCCCGATCTTTCACCTAGAACAAGATACGATACACATTATTTAAATTATTAACGTAGCGTTCAGGCGGACGCATCGGACACATAGCACGTGTACAAACCCCACCTCTTGCTGTAAACCTCGCACCATTTCATTGGCACTGTTCAATTTACACAAAAGCTTATCGATTTGCGTCTCCGTTTTGCAGAGGTGTCCTTCCAATGCCGATATCTTTCTTTTCTGCTGTGTATTTGCAGCTTTTAACGAAGCTACTTCAAGTTTTAAATTTACATTCTCTTGCTCAATTGCCGTTAATATTCGTCTAAAATCCTCTTCTATAAATGAAAAATGTTCATGTCTCATTATTATCATCTTTTCTATAATTCTATTATTATCATTAAATGTATAAAATTAAATATCTCACGTTTCCTTTGTAAATCCACGCGAAGTATGTTACGCTTGTTGACACGTTGCTCCAAGAATTGTATTAAGGATTGTATTATTTGATCGTTGTCCGAAGTGACAGTCTCCAATTGAGGAAACGGTCCGCCCAAACTAAAACATATTTGAAAACAGTTGAAAAGAGGCGAAAAAAGGGTGGGAAGAATTCGAGTTATAATAATTGTTCAAAGTTGCACCTGTACACTAGGCCTAGATCAATGTTCAACTCGGCAGCCTCCGGTCGACCGTCTCTCTCCAATCTGCTTCTTGCTTCCTTGAATAACTGAAAGTAAAAAAAATAGATATATTAGTTGCATTCGCACCTGTGCACGTGTGCGTGCGTATTTCAGAATGATCAATTGAGCAGGGTTGGGAAAGTTATTTTATAAATTTATAAAAGTATCGAATTACAGTTACAGTTTTTTCGCTAAAAATGTAACCAGTTACAGTTACAAGTCACCAATTCTGAAAAGTAACGCGTTACAGTTACAGTTACTCAAAAAGTAACGAATCGTTACTTTGCAGTTACTTTCTTGCAATGAAAATAAAAATACTAAATCTGCATTTGAATTGTAAAGCGTTAATAAAGGCGTTTATGCGCAAGGTCTAATGCAATTTGTGGAGGTTTAAAAAATATATAAAATAACTATTACTATGTAACGAATTAAATTAGTTACTAGTTGTCGAAAAAATGTAACCGAGTTAAGTTACAGTTATAGATAGAGAGAAAGTAACAAAGTTAAGTTAGAGCTGCCAAAAAAAGTGTAACTGTAACTTCGTTAAAAGTAACGAGTTACTTCCCAACCCTGCAATTGAGTGTCATTTGAGAATCACCTTATTCGCTTGTCTTCTGCCAGGAGTGAAACCGAGATCCAATTTCACAGGATTAGACCTGACGATGTGCACTTCTTGAGTAATTTCCGCAAACTTCATGACTTGCTACACACAAACGTTATTGAAATTAATGACAATTATCTATTTCATTAAATTTAGATACGTTACATATAGTTACGACATATCATACGACACGTACAATCGTCTCGTCATAATCGTCCGCTCTTGGATTCACACAGACTATCATTCTGACCTGTCCTTCCCCGTCGAAATAGTTTTTGAATAAATGCGTAAGCTTGGAATCTCGATAGGGGACCATTTTGTTTGTACTTTGACTCTGATTTTCCCTTAAAATTTCCAAACACGATCGCAGTGTCATGAGAGAGTTGTTGATGTTGCCTTTAACACAATCGCATTAATTTGTTTTCACAAGTAAATATGACAAATTAATAATTTTCACAGGTACATACGACAAGAAATAAAACACGAAACGTTTCATCTCACCTGCTTCCCGCAAACGTTGGCCGGTATTCTTCGTGCGATTCGTTCGCTCGCTACCCGCCAAATCCACCAAAGACAATTGACTTACGCACACGACTCGTTTATCCTGCATTACATGTTCACCCTCGCAATCTAAAGGTGCCTTTAAGTGTATACAATGATGGTTAAAAAGCGATTATATTTCAAACTTTAAAGTGATCTCCGACGTAATGGCGAGAGATTCGAAAAGGGCACGTATACTACCTGCACAAGCCTGATGGTGAAGACGCTGTGCGATCTACTCGACTCTGCATTCAATGCCGTGTGTGCAACCCGTCTTTTTCGTTGTCCACGTTGAAACAGCTCAAAGGCTTCCTCTGCGCTCTTTACCTCGACTTCCGTAACAGCGTGTACATACATATTCTTGTTGCCGTCTTCTCGAACAATTTTACTCTGCAGCGTCCTACGTCAAGCGTAAGTTGAGCAAGCAAAGCAAAGCGCGCGTCGAACACATACAATGAAAGAGTTGTTGCCTCAGGCGAGTACGTACTTTGTTCTCATGTCATCCTCGTCCAACAAGTCGTACACACTGTTGTTGTATATTTCGACGTACGTGGCGAATACAGCGTACGCGTTGTCCAGCTCGATTGCCACACTTTGCGATTCATTGCGCTCATGGGCCACCGCCGGATTGCTGTCACCATCGCTGTCCACCTTACGGCTATAATTCACGAGAGTAACATTCGCCAATTATTGTGCCTACACGATATAAACGTGATAAAAATTGCTTGGCAAGTGCCGGGCGTGGGGGACTTACTGTTTGCCGGGTCTCGCGGTTCTTTGGCTCGACAGACCGGCGTGAAGCTCGCGCTGCCTCTCGAGCATAGCGTCAGCCTCGCCTTGCACGTCGAAGCCGTTCAATTTGTCCGGCTTGAAGACAAACTTTTTCGTCTGATAATTCGCGATAGTGTTGAAGATAACGTCCAAGCAGCGAGGCATAATACCGGCATCCTGCGGTTCCCCGGTCATCGTGTACGTCTTCCCGCTACCCGTCACACCGTACGTAAACAGCAGGCCGTTCCTCCCGTGAATGAGATTTTGGACCAGAGGAAGGGCGACCGTCTTAAATATCTCCCGCTGCGTCACGTCGGCTGTGAACACGTGGCTGAACGTCGTTTGTATCTCTTTGCTGGTCGCAGTGCGAAAATTGGCTGCCGACTCCGGGGGCGTTATCACCACGGTCGAGTCAGACGTGACTCTCATGCACGACGCATCCATCGGTGATTGCATGGGCCGCAAACGGCAGTAAACTTGCACGGGATCCTTGGACAGCATATTCGATCCCTTGGGTCGAGCGACTGGCTTGCGAGCTGGGGTCTTGGAGCGTCTGGAACATTTGCATTATTTTGTTCTTGCGTCTCGAGTCTTGTATGTCTCAGTTAAGCTGGTGGCAGAGAACGATCCGTAAACGCTTAAGACTGGATGAGTCGTAGACGTAGGGCAAGGCAGCGAGAAATGTAAGTCGTGAAAGGCTATTGTATACGACTTATGTTTCTCTCTGCCTTGCCCTACGTCTATGACTAAGACAGTCTTAAGCTTTTAGGCCCGGTCTACAATGAGTCGTTAGTCAGAAGTCGCAACTATATGTTGATCCTTTTCCTTTCTGGGTGGAAGAAAAAGGACCGACATATAGTTCCGACTTCTGACTAACGACTAACGACTCATTGTAGACCGGGCCTTACGGATTGTTCTCTGCCATCAGCCTTAGGACCTGAGCAGAATGGCTGTCTTGTACTCTTAAGGCGATGCTTTGTGTTTT